CGGGTGGAGAGAGAAGGAACAGTAGAAATCTTAAAATCTTTACTGAGAGAAACTAAGTAAACCCTCAGACTGGACGTCTCAACAATTCTTCTGGTTTTCAGGGTATTATAAAGGTTGTAAAAAAAGAGAAGGCTTCTCCGTCCTGCTGGAGGCTCAAAAATGGGAGAAATGAGAAAAAACGGGGGCATAATGCTTTACTTTCTCCACGGTCTAATATTAGGCTGTTCATGAGATGAGTTTTATTTTTTCGGTTACACCTTAAGCCCTCCACCTCGAGAGAAAGTCTTTGGTCGGCGTATATTTTTCAAATTTTTTTTTGCGCTATAACCCTCTTCACCTCACTCTGTATGACTTATACAAGACTAACTTTTTCCATGGGGGAAACTTTTGTAAAGTTGGAAATTGGATATCAACTTAATTTATGAGTCATTGATTTAACCCGACAACGAGGTTGGGTATAAAGTATGAAAGTTATAAAACTAAAGTCTGCTTTAGTGATGGTATTCATTTCTTCTCTTTACATGCCTGACTGAAAAGATAGGAGAGAGGAAGCAGGGCTGTAATGGGGGTGACCTTTCTCTCTCTATGGCACCTTCACAAGGGACCTTTTACACCATGAAGGAGACAGACTGCTTTTCTAGTTGGAATTCATTGAACACCTTTCCATTCTTTCCTGTTGAATATCAATTGTATTCCGGGTTGTACGGGGCGGAGTAAATTAGGGAGATGGGTCTTGTTTACCGGGCCTTTAGAGAGGAGGAGAGGCCACTTGTCTTTCACTTTCTCTTTAAGGTATGAAATCCGAGCAGCGATCGACCTTATTCATTGGCACGTTCGTATCTGTATTATGTTATGTTCCCCTCTTCCTTGTAGTGCTGGATGGATTGCCTTATTTCCTCCTGCCGGGTTCTGGAAAATGGAGCCGTGAGAGAGAAAGCTGACTCCTGGAGGCATTACTCGCTCTACTAGACTTTCACTTCCTCCCGGGTTGGGATCATGTTTTGTTTCTCGTGTTTTGTCAATTCGTTAGATTTGGATTGGTAGCTGGGGCCATTATTCTTACTCTTTCTCCTTATAATCCGGTCTCCTTCTGGTCCAACAAATCGGGCTAATTGTGGTGTGAGAACGATCCATTATTTCTTCTTGGAGAGGGAGAGAGAAGCCTGCTAGTAATGATTTGATACCATTGTATTTTATGTACTTGTGTATTTAACATTGATCATATTTCTCCTCGTCCATTTCAACCGAGGGGAAGAAACGGTCAGGAGGAGAACGATTTTTTATTATGGGTCCATTTGAATTTTTTCCCATTTTGGAAAGTGATCAAATGTGAAAAGGTGTAGCCTCATGAAAGAAAGAAAGATCAAATTTGAAATTCAACAAGATCTTCCCTCCCAATACGACATACTTTCACTTATCGAGGTTTTATTTTATTGAATTGGTGAAATGGGTATCATCGGAATCCATTTCGCGTTAAAGTTTTCTCTCTCTCCTCCACCGTCCGTCCGTGCTACTTGTTCCTCAGTGTTATTAAAAGGAGAGAAAGTGGGCACAAGCTGTCGAAGACATTATTGTCTACTCTGCAAAATAAGGAGAAGAAAAGGAAAAAGTAGTCGTAGTAGCGTATGTATTTCTATCGTGAAGGAGGCAAGTGTCCATTTCTGCTAGGATCGTGACTATCAAAATAAAAAAGGGAATATTGGAAATATTGGATCTCTCTCAAAAACAGGGAGGAGGAGAAAGTAGAGAAAGAAAGAGGTGGAATAAATCCAATCCAACTAAACTAAACTATCAAGCAGGAAGAGAAAGTGTGGATTGGAAATGTGCAATTCCGGGCATTTTATGGCAAAAAAGCGCTGAAGGAATCAAAATTCTAAGTGTAGTTTAGTAATTCTCGCTGGCTAAACTACTGGTTTCACTTTCACTTTCTGTCCTTATCCTTTTATCTGTGATACATATAATACCAACCAAGCCGGACTCGGTCTTGGTAGGGAACATGACTGGCTGGCTTGGCTTATTATTGTGATTTTCTTTTTCTTAGAGTTCGCCCACTTTCTCTCCTGTCTAACCTGGGATATAATCCCTCGTTAGTTTAATTGGGTGGTGGATGTACATGGAATGGATGGTGTGGGGCTCGATAAAACTTTGTATGTCGACATTTTCTCTTATTCAATTGAAGAGTAAAAGTTCCACTTTCTCGTTTCCCTCGGATTACTTGTTCCTCCTCGCACTCACTTTTATTCTTATTCTTAAGAGTCAAGAGTCAATCTGAGTTTACTTTCTTTACTGGGATAAGTTTGATTTTCTCAATGTTTCTGTGCCTTCACTGTCAATATTTTTCCTGCTTTTTTCCAGATTCAATTCTCTCCAGCCACAATTTTTAGTAGTAGAAAAAAAGTAAGTGTAACGACTTGCCAATGTTTAATGATAGGGTGGAGCAGCTTTTCCCAATTTAATGCAACATTTAAAACGGCAACTTGGTCTAATGGCAACTTTTACTTTTGCTCCCGACACACAATTGTCCCGGCACACAACTGTTGTAGACAGTTATGAGAATGGATGTCCAGACTTCTCCATCCACTACTGGGCTCAAATATTGCATTCAAGGCTAGAAAAAAACACCAAGGCAAAGTAAGTACGAAGAGTGTAAGTAGTGTACGTATACTAATTCTGAGGTCGGAGACTGATAAAGCAGACCAAACCGCAGCCTTGCCAGAAGAAAATTCGACAAGAGAAGAAAATCGTCTTGGCACATTTCAGAGGGAAAATTCTCTAAAGCTTGCTTTCCCTGTGCTCGGAATCCTTTCACTCACCCGGAACCCGGTCAAGGAAGGAAGAGAGCGAAGAGAGTAAGAAAAAAACGGGTAAGAGTTTCCACAAAGGCGAAGAACAAGATGGCAAAAAATTAAAAAAAAACTATCCACTCAAAAATAGAAAGTCGGGGAAAGTAAAGATTATCGCCCATGATTAACTTTACTGCATTCGACTGCATTCATTTCCCTGCAAAATTGTCGATTTCAATTTGTCCCCGAATCCGTTTTATTTTCTTCCAATCTGCCTTTGCCACTTTGTCCCGTAGCTGCGCACATAGCTGCCAAGCTGAAAGTGCAGTGGTAGTCGTACACCACTGGTCGTGGTGATGCGAAGGAGAGCTCTTTCTTGTTTTCCAGCCAAGAAATTGAAAGTGCTGCTGGAGAGAGAAACTCACTCCGACCAAGAAGAAGAAGAAGCAATCCACAACAGAGACAACTTTTTCCATGCTTTCTCCTCGCCATGTCAAGTTGAAAGAAAACAAGGAAGGAAACAAAAGAATTGCCGGCGGTGATGGTACAGTAGTGGAATGTGGTCCTGCTGCTGGTGGTGTCGTGGACTTTCCTTGCAAGAGTGGTACTGACACAAAAGTCAAAGGAAATCAATTGTCTTTAATGCAGTTCCACTTCTTCGAGGAAATGAAAACGGACCCGACGACCAAAATGCGAGAGAGGAGGTAAAAACCATTCAGTTTCTTAGAGTGACAATGATAATTGACCCAGAGTCCGTTCCGTATGGTCGTATCGTACTCAACCCTCAGCTCTGTGTGATGAAAGAAGAAGTCCTTGATTCAATTCCTTCCTTCCAGGGAAAACATATCGTATCGACACTACACTTAAGTATCTACGACGTGTTACAAGGACATCGTAAAAGTTGGGGCACTACAACTTTCACACATTTATGATCGCTGAAAACTGTCAGCTAAAAAGTACTTTCCACCTTGTCATCGACACCTGGAGAGAGAGAGCGGAGAAAGTGAGGCATTCACTAACTAACTAGCGTGTCACATGTAGGGCACGTCACGCCGTGACATGTAACGAGTTTTTAAATTGCTGGTGACTTTTACGTCCTAGCTTTCCCTTTAAAAACGTATCGAAATCTTTCCAATTTCGGATAAATAAATGATGGCGAAGTAATGTGTTGTCGTCTCAGATGGAGAAATTTGGCAGGAAGCATTCTGCCGCTGTTTTTCCTCGTCAGTCAGAAATGAAATCTCTCCTCTCCTGCCTCCTACAAATATGAGAACGAAGGAAAACAAGAACAACGACACAAAAAACATCATTGATCCCAACAATGCATGAATGAAGGCTGAGAGAGAGAAAGTCCAGTCCAGTCCAACCAGTCAGGTCGAGTTGACCAACTTTCTCCTTTTGGATTGGATATTCTTCTTTGTTTCATAATATTATTGGATTGAAGCTGGCAGCCAGGGAAACATCATCTTTCTCTTTCATACTCCATATCTCGATCTCTCTTTTCTTGCTTTCTTTTTCTTCTTCTTCTGTCCATCCATCGTTTCGCTGGACGGGTCAAATCAACCGGAAGGCGGGGAGGAGAGAAAGTATGGGAACCATCGGGTAAAATTTCCTCCGAAATACGTATATTGATTCTGATACGATCCGATATTGCACGCATAATTGAACTACTTTCCGCACGGAATTGATCTCGGGAGATCGGACTCTGGAGATTGTGCACGGGCAGAAATGTTTTGGAGATGTTGTTAAGCAATTTTTTATTGAGGAGAAATTCGCCGATAGGGCTACTTTTTGGGTGAAGAAGATAAAGTGAAAGTGGATTGTAATCATTTTTTATCGGGATATGTATGAGGTAGGAGTGATTTGAGGGATCAGCAATACTTAATTTTATCTGTTTATTTTTTTATTTGGGGGAAAATTCGTAAAAAGTAGGGTTTGTTTCTGGTACTAAAATGTAAATGTGAATATGAGGATTTATAAAATCCTTTCGTGACTAGATTCAGAATTTGAGAATCAAGGGATATAAGTTGCATTCAATTCTTTTGGGAATTCAAAATAGCACAAACCATACTTCAATTTACTGATATTTTTCGAAATGTAACCATCTCAAATTTCGAAAAACAAACTTAAAACTGGAAAAATACATAAAATTTCAACTCTACAGAAAAATGCTCTCCAAAATGCAACAATAAATTAAGCCAATTTCATATAATTATATATCTTTCTCCATCTTCTTTATTCCACTCCATCATTAAACTCCATAATTAATACAACAATTATAATTACAACCATTAATTATATTACACACTTATCCCCATATCATTACCCGCAGCAACGATAAATAAAGAAACTAAACCACTATAATCAAACCTATTAATAATAACAATGACTACTCGTTTCTGGTACAATATTTGTTTAGCGCAGGAAAACGAAACCAAGAGAAAGCAAGCATTACTTATTTCGTCTCTCTTGGACTAAACTCTTTACAGAAAACAAACAGTTAGTACAGTGAGTGATATTACTTACAATAACAAGGAACGAACAACAACAATAATAATTACGCTGCCATCTCATAAAGCTAACACCGCAATGGTAAATAGGAGTAATTACTTGGGTAAGAAGACCAAGCTGGAAAAGAAGTAGAAGAAAAAGAGCAGAAATGACTTGATGACGACAAACAAGAGTAAAGAGAAAGTAGAAGAAAGGCGAAAATAATGAGAAAAGCCGTCGTCCCAGTAATCATTTCATTCCTTGCTTGATTACAAAAAGAGAAAATAAAACGAGTGGGAACACAGGGCTTAAAATTTAACGAGTATTTTAGAAACTATCTATTTCGTAACTTTCTCCTCGTTATTTTCTTACGCTAGGATTAAATTACTTATTAGTCGAATGATTGTTCATTTCATTTCTCGAGGTAAAAGTAATTTTATTTATTTATTGGGGTTTGGGAGTGGTAGTATACTTCTTTTGGTGAAGTGAAAGTTATCACTTTTTCTTGGCAGAGTTTCGCCATTTTTTGTTTAAAACATATTGTATTATTATTATTATTAGTATTATTATTATATAACGATTATTATTTCTTATCGTAATTATCGTTAGGATTGAATAATTTATGTAAGTAGTTTTTACTTTCTTCCTTTTCGTATAAATGTTTATGTATAAGCGAAAGTTATTTTTTATGAAATTTGTGTATTTTTTACACTATTATTTTTTGCACTGCCATGCACCCAGCCAGATAAAGTGTCAAGTCTTATTTTTGCTCACGTTTTATACTCGTTTTTCGTATATTTTTTCCCCTAACATAACTAACTGTATAGAATTATAAGATTTGTAACATGAAAAGAAGAATAAAGTATTGCTTTTGTTTGCTTCTTGCTCCAAGTATTATTTGTGTGCTTACTTTCTCCGTCCTCTCCGGTACTACTGTTTTTCTCTATTTTTTTCATCCCATCTCAATGTTCGTATTTGTTGTTGGTTCGTCTCTCTCTCTCGCTTTCATACTTGTCCAGCAGTAGTTGAACCTCAGTCAAGTCACGTAGGAACATTTTGTCTTTCTCTTTTTCGAGCACATAAAGAAAAAAGAGAAAGTAGTAAAGATTCTAAATCCGTGTAAAAATTATTGCACAATCTAGACGCTCTCTAGATCTCTGTCCCTTCCGCCCCTCCATCTTCATAACCTTCGTCCGGACTTTCATTAATTTGCCCATGATTTTGTTGCTGTAACGATGAGGTTAATGTTTGCCCGGCAACCTCATTTTTATTATTCCTGCTGCTGGTCGTTACCACGGGTCCGTTCCTCTTCGAGGAGGATGATGTTGATGATGATGATGATAATCCGTTACAATTCAGTCTTTCGCTTGACGTTCTTAACGGGGTGGAGGTCGAGGCAGTCTTCGTTTTTGGGGGGGCTACTGTTGTCGTTGGGGGACACGTTGTTTCTACAGGATCATTAGCATCTTCAGTCTCGTTTCCCTCCAGGATAGGCCCACACGAGCAAGTTACAGGATTTACTACGTATTCTTGAGGGACGGTGTTGTTGCTGTGAGGGTGGTGGTGTACGTGGGGTAGATACATTTGTTGATGTGGTGGATGATGATAGATTTGGTAAGGGTCGGTCCCTTCGAGGGTCGTCGTGTACACGGTGTACTCCTGGGGGTCGTAATTATTCGAGGGAAAGCTAGCCCCTGGGCTGATGTATTCTTTGGGGTATTTTGAGAGATCATAGCTAGATGAAGGGAGACCCACATAGGACACGGGGCCGGGGGGTGGGGGTAACCCGTTGAACTCCATGATTGGCCAGGACGGCGAGGACCTTGGGTTTTGAAGAGAGCGGGGTAGCGTGCCAAAGTTAGTGGTCGTATTACCCCGACTAGTAGTATGCAGGAGGGAGGAAGGATTTGAATTAGGTACTATCGTAGCAGAAGGACTGTTATTACTGGGCGGATTATTTATCTGTGTTGTGTAATAAATTCCTCCCTCACTGGGATAGTGGGGGTGGTGGTATTGATGCTGCTGGTTATAAATGGTAGAGTCCAAGCCATCCCCATCGCCCCGCTTCGACCCCGCAACCGCCCCCTCGATCAAGTCCGGGTTGGAATTGGAATCGGCGGAACTTAATAAAAATACCGACCCACCATTAGAACTCTTCGTAGTAGCGGATGTCGTTAATGTCGAGGCATCACTCAAACTAAGTATCCCGCCCCGGTCCAACTTTCCCAATACGTCGTTCCCACCACTTTCGCCACTTTCACTATGTTTCATATTCTTACTGGAGGAGGAACGTTCTCCTCCCCGTCGACGGGCTGAAGAGGAGGATTTTCCCCATAGAAAGTTTGTACATTTACACAGAACAAAGGATAACGTGGACAAGATTAAGACCAGGCCAATCACTGCCACAGTGCTTAATCCAATAATGAAAAGGTTCGGGTAGTTTGACACGAGTTGGGGCAGCTGTCCCAACCCTGACAGGTAAGAGTAGTCCCCTCCACCCCCGCTACCTGAGGGGTCAGAAGGGTCATATTTTGTAAGGACGCGAAGCGTAAAGTTGGCAGAGGCCGACCCCGCCGGATTTTTTGCGAGGCAGAGAAAGGTTCCGTTTTCTTCCAGGGTAGCGTTTAAGATGAGAAGTTCGCTCTTTTTCTCGACCGGAGTCGTGGCCGCGATTGAGGACGACGTTAAAGGTGACGAGTAGCCGGAAGGGTATGCCGAAGTAGTCTCAACTAGCAAATTAAGGGACGAGTTTGTTAGCGGGGAGCCATTAAATAGCCACTCTAAACTGGATTCCGGCACGGATACCACTTTGCACAGTAGGGACACGTTCTTTCCTTCACCTGGAATGAAATAGAGGAGAAGATATTTACTATTTTAATTAGTATCATCACCACTACCACCACCACCACCACCTTTATAATTACTTTGGCGAGAGGGAAAATTCAAAGTTTCTCTGCCACATAAACTAATACGAGGAGGAGGACGACGACGACGTCGACTTTTCATACTTTCACTTTCATCACGTCGCAAGCCTTAATAATAATAAGGAGTGACTTATCTGGCACGCAACGCCTTTGAAGGAGGAAAACTTTCTCCTCCTCTTTTTAAGCGAAAGAGAAAGCATATAATAATAACTAGTGGGTCCGTACTCGTAAAAAAAGTGAAAAAGAAATTGAATAAGAATGAGTCTCATCTTTCCTCCAAGAGTAGAGAGGTGAGGCGTAATGGTAATGACTGTTTCTCCTTAGAAGATCCCATCTTAATGTTGTAAATTGCATAAAAAATTCTCTCCTCTCCCCACACCACACTTTCTGAAAAGCTAAAAACCCAAGAAGGCAAACCCACTAATGGAGTCGAGAAAGTCCCGAAAGAGAAAGTTGGTACAAATTATTGGGTCATTATCATGCAAGAAATGAGCCTAGACTACGTTAGAAATCTAAACGACGTTAAGTTAACATTACAACACAAGTAGTAGTGTCTAGTATGTAGTTGGACTCTACTACACCACCCATTTTATTATAACGGAGAGAAAGTTTCAGCCAATTCACATCATCCACTCAGCCGGCATCGCATCGTTTTATCCGTACTTTCTCCCCCTTAAAAAAATTGCAAAGTACTTAATATCAAATCCAATCTGGAATTTAAATTCCGGTCCAGAGTCACATGTTGGGTTACGAAATGGTTTTTATTATTAACGAAGAAATTTTCCTCCGACATGCAGAGAGATAGCTCGAGATTGATGATGCCATCCATACTTTTGCACAAAAAGTGGGAGAATTATCCGCTATATGTGCGGCGGTGTGCATGTGCATGTCTCGTTTTGCTGAAAAGTCTCGGAATGGGACATAAGCACGAGAGAAAGTAGTCTCGATTTAAAAAGGGAGAAAGTGCTGAGAAGATGAGAAAGTTGGAGAAAGCATGGTGAAAGTTGGGCTTTAAAAAGTTCCAACTTTTCAATTGAATGACCCTACACGGCCTCTTGCTTACATTAATGTCAAACAGGGAACATTCACCGGGGAAGAAAGTCTGAAAATTTAACTCGGGTAGAGCGAGCGAGAGAGAGAGAAACATTACATGAGGAGAAATAATATGATTCTATTCCAAGGTTCACTTCATCCTGGAGAAAGTCCCAGCTCCACAGTCACCTACGTCGACTTGTGGTGGGCACAACAGCCTGGAGCAGTTTGAGAAAGCAAGCATAAATGCAAAATCTAATTTGCCTGGAATGACACCCGACCCTAATCTGAGAGAGGATGGACATGTAAGGGAAAGTAAACTTTAACTACTTTCAATGCTACTTCACTTTACGAATTTAAAACAAAATAATATGTACCAGTGGCAAAACAGGGAAGAAATTAAGTACGGCTTGTGACTCTCGTGTTACTTTCTTCAATTTTAACTTTGTGCACTTTCTACTTTCTCTTCCTACTTCTCGAGTCGAGATAATAAGACGGGAAGGAGAAAACTAACCACTCGATTTGATGAGGGCACGGTCCAACCGGTCGTTCCCTTTATTTGTAGATATTGGATAGATGGATGTGAGTGATAATGAAAGTGATGGGGTCGAGTAAATAGTACATTTCTAGGAAAAGAAATGAAAGGGAAACCAGAGAAGCAAGAGAGAAATCTCTCCACTGGCACTATCGAATTGCATCACCACGCCGCAATCTCCCCATTTGTCTTCGTCTTTTCAGCCCTATCATCCATTTGAAACATATGGTGTTTGAATCAGAAAGTGGATGGAGGAGAAAGTACTTTTGGTTTTGGGGGTGTCACATATTTCACCCGTCAGCCTGTTTTGCTGGGTTCTTATTTATTTATATATTTATTTATTTATTTACAACTGCACCCCAGAAACTCGCCCAGCTTAAGGTCGAGTTTCTCTCACTTTGTGGACTTTCATCCGGCACTAATTTAATTCCGAATTTGCAAACTCACCAATTTTCTGGAACATTGTTGTCGGTGAAAGTTGCGGCAGGCAAGCCAATGCTTCTGGAAAATTCAATACAAAAAAATAGTTACATTTTTATTTTATTTTTTGTTGCAGGTTGTCTCTAATAATAGAAATATGAATTAAAAGCTAAAATATGTAGTATATAATCGGGGCTCTTATTTACAAAAGGTCCCGAGCTATTAAATATTTGAATAAGAGTGCTGTTTGAGCAAGGTCACTATTTATAAAATTATGAAGAGGGACACGGCTACTATTTGAACACGGCAACTATTCGAGTTTATACAGTAGTTAATTCTAATTCCTAGTTCCCTATCGTAAAAATGTGTCGAAACATGGAGATCAATTATTTGCACAGCAGTAAATAAATTATTAACGTTGACTACCTTGAGGTAGGGATTTAATCGTGACATTCTCCAATCTATCGGGTCCATTGCATCTTGGTTCGGCGGAGGATGCCACATTGCGGTCACTCAGCCAGAGACGGAGTTCAAGGAGATGACAGTCACACTCCCAAGGGTTGTCTTCGAGAGAAAATCCTTTAAGTGAGAGGGGAAGAATGGACAAACCTTTGATGGATTTTAACCGGTTTCCATCTAATTTAAGCCATTCTAGGGATTGAAGTCCTTCAAAAGCGCCCTGGAATTAAGTCAGGATCAAAAATATTAGAAAACTTTCACCTGGAGAAAGTCGAGACAGCAACAATACCACAACTTTCTTAGCAAGACGTTTCATTTTAGACTAGCAAACTTTCACTCTACTTTCCCTACGCAACAATTTCGTCTATGCCCACATCAAGGAGAGGTGAAATCACGTAACTCTTCGCCCAACTGAAGACAGCAGACCAAGTAAAAGAAGCTTTTTCGCGACTTTCATTCTACTTTCTCTCCTCCTTATACAACATAATAAAAGAAACAAATATAGGTCGACGGCATGCCTGGAGGAAATATGACAAGCGCCAAGTCAAGTTTCTGGCTAGACTTGCATTTTTTATTCCACTAGTAATTGAATGGAAATAAATACGTAATAATTCCCTTGATACATCCACCCACGATGCGCACGTTAGACTACACGTTTCCTTAAACAAAACGAAAGGAAAGTCAAGTCAAATCCCTCAACCGACCGGAACTAACATTATGTATCATCCCACTCTATTTTATTATAAAATGTCGACAGTCGTCTTATCACGCGACATCCTCTTTATTTCCCTAAGCTTATCTCCCTTCATACCATTTCATCCCAGGCCAAGAAATCGATTCGATCTATCACGCATCACGGTTGGTTTTAACTTTCACCGCTTTTGAAATCGCAATCAACAAAGGGACCGGAAAGGATTGAGTCAAGCTGATAAGTTAAATAAATGAAACGAACTGGAGAAAGTACTGGAGAGAGATTTCCAACATCGTAATAATAACTGGTCGACTAGTGGTAGGAATTACGGTGGGCATTGTCCACTTGGAGAAAGTGACACTGATTCCTGGGATTGGGTTTTCGGCCCATTTCCTCTCCTCCTCCTCCTCCTCCTGCTACTACTGCCAAGAAGATTTGGAATGATGGAGTTAAGAAAATAATCGTGGGTCTTTCTCCCCATAGCGGTTTACTTTCTCTCTACCCCATTATTATTACAAGGAATGGTTGTGGAGAGAAAGTCGTGTCACTACATAGTAGGCGAGGAGTGAGTAGTATTGATTTGAGGTCGAGTCTGGATTTATTTGAACTTTTAGAAATGGGAAGGAACAACCAATCGAAATCTCCTCACTTCCATGGAGGAGAGAGAAAGTTGGGAGAAAGGTTTGGTTTTCGTGCACTAGTGCTTGATTCAATACCGAGATATTCTCCATCCAAGTTAGTGATGGAGAGAGAGAGGGAAAGTGTCAAGACAACCAAGGAAAGGAAATCTTGAGACGGAGACGGGACAAAACCAGGGGAAAGTGAAGAGAGAAGACTTTGTGTCTATCTCTGTCTGTCTGCTAGCTTTCTCTTTCTGGATGGAATTGACAGGAGAGAGAGAAAATCCAATCCAGAAGGGAATGATAATGTCGATTATTATGCGAAACGGAGGGAGAGAAGGAGAGAGAGAGAAAGCGGACTAGAGTGAAAGACAAGACAGCTTTTGTGCAGATTTGGTTCGTCCCAGGTTCTTCTGTGTTGATGATTTTGTGATGATAAAAGCTTGTTTAATCGAATTGTGAAATAAACAGGGTATTAAAATAATACCAGTCGGATGGCTGTAGCAGGTTGACGGGCTGGCTAGTTTGGAAGGGAGTAAGCATTATTAAGATGCTGCTGGGATTATAAGTGGTAGGAGTGGATGTGCTTTAGCTAATTTAACCAGAAATGGGTATGGGTGTACTTTCACTGAAGTCTGGCTGTGGAGTTACGTTTACGAACATTAGCCAGGACTTTATTTCACCGTAAAATACTGGGTATTATGATGTAATTTTCACCAGATGTAGGCATTTTTGTTTAGTTTCGTCACGATTTTACTTTACTTTGGCTGAGTAGTTCAACCTCAAAAAGCCGGTATCACGCTGCTCAGGTACGTTCACATTCCTGCCAAACAAGGTAAAATTATCAACTTACCTGTTCAATCAGTTCCAATCCTGCCGAACTGAGCTCAAGGCTCGTTAACGACTCCAACATGAGAAATGCTCTCTTGCCCAGGATCGCAATAGGGTTTCCACTCAACACGAGCCGCATCAATCCCGTCATGTCCGGAAACGCCGAGGTGGGTACGTCTCTCAACAGATTACCCGTTAAATCCAACTCGACCAAATTGCTGAGTCCGCGAAACGCTCGAGAATTGATATGACTCAGGCGACACTTTGATAAAAAGATTTTTTGTAAATTTATAAGCCCATTGCGCATAAAGTGGTCGGGCGGGAGGGTTTCGAAGGAATTTCCACTCATGTCCAACACCTGTAAGAGAAAGGAAAAAGCGTTTAGTGTTTCGCTTCAGAGAGACGAAAAAAGGAAGAGAAAGTAGATTTCAGAAGGGAAAAAAATTTCCCAGGCTAAATTTTCTTAGAAAAAGCAAGTGGAGAAAATGCGGCTCCTCAAGTGGATGCATGTAGGGTTGCCAGATTGTGTGATGTTAGACTTTGGTAAAATATTTTAAATTTCTGAAATACATTTCTTGCATGGAAAGGAAACCCTGTCCGCAATATTGCAAGACACAATACGACTCGATTTGATCATCAAAGTGAAAACCTTTACCTATAGTGCATTCACTTTGGAAATTTCTCTCCGCCAACTTTCACTTTACTTTCTCCCTCTCTGAATAAAGCCAGTGAGGCAGAAACCAGACCAGCATTTATTTGGCACCTTACCCATCCGGGTAGCGCATACACACACAGAGTCGTAGTCCTTTCTACCTTGTATAGTAAAATTGGGATATTACGTTACGTTACGTACCTGAGTACCCGGGTCGATTTTGGGTGGAAACGTACGAAAGTTCCTGCAAAACAGTTCCAACATACACATGAGATTTAGCACAGACAGAAGCACACCCACTTTCTCAAAGCTACTTAATCCCTTAATGATGACATTGAATTTAGATATTTATTTATTTTACGGGGTCGGTCTAACATCAAAGGTTTGGAAATAATTGAAGATATAATAACAAATAATTGTAACAAAACACTAAATATGCGTTTATAAGGCTAAGGAGGGGAGGGGAGGTAGTGTACTGTCAACTCATGGATCTCGATGCCCTTTTGGATATATTGTAGTGTCCCATGAATGAACAAGAACCCCAAAGTGGTTTGATGCCATCGCCACATTTGCGCCCGACACACCCACTCAAAGGTGCCCAAAAAACGCTTTCACTTCAGCTTTCACTCATTCAAAACCACGCTAAAAATCCAATTTTACTCCGATTCGGAAATTTCTTTCACCATAATACTCATAGGAAGTTGTTCTCTTATATCCAACATCAAACTCAATTTTTCGAAATTTTTCGCATTTTTAAAATTTAAAATTCTGAATGAGCATTGTTGTAGTAATCAACAAAGCAAATTATGCCTGCGAAATAATCACCAAAAAAGTTGAGTATGCTGTTTGATATAAGAGAACAACTATCTGGGAGTATAATGGTGAAAGAAATTTCCGAATCAGAGTAAAATAGGATTTTTGGCGTGGTTTTGAATGAGTGAAAGCTGGAGTGAAAGCGATTTTTGGGCACCTTTGAGTGGGTGTGGCGGGCGCAAATGTGGCGATGGCATCAAACCACTTTGGGGTTCTTGTTCATTCATGGGACACTACAACATATCCAAAAGGGCATCGAGATCCGAGAGTTGATAGTACACAACCTCTCCTCCTTAGAAAGCAAATTAGGTTTTTTTAGCTAGTTGTCCTAGCTAGATTTCGTAGCTAGTTTTGCTAGCTAGCTCTTCTAGCTAGTTTTGCTAGCTAGTTTTGCTAGCTAGCTCTTCTAGCTAGTTTTGCTAGCTAGCTCTTCTAGCTAGTTTTCCTAGCTTCCTACCTAGCTTCCTAGCTAGATTTCCTAGCTAGATTTCCTAGCTAGAGTTCCTAGCTAGGTTAGGTTAGGTTAGCTTTAGAACTAGTTTTCTTAGTTAGCCCTCCTAGGTAGTCTTCCTAGCTAGCTTTCCTAGCTAGTTTTCCTAGCTAGCTCTACTAACTAGCTCTCGTTGTTTTTCCGAGCAAGGCATCGGTGCAGATGGACAAAGTGTCGCCATAAAGTAGCCTGAAGTTACCTAATAATAAAAACTAGCTTGCCTGGAAACACACTCGACGAACTGCTTTCCCCCTTTCCACTTGCAGATGCAGTCCGAAGGACACCCATCGGTGCAGGACCCGAGTGAAAGTATCATCACCACACCAATCAAGAGGAGGGTGAATGCGGGAAGTGAGAGTGGATGGTGGTCAGCCTTGCAGACCATATTTGTAGGAATAATACTTGTTTATTCACATTTGCAAACTAATAACAAGTCCATTATTTTGCCCACTTTCTCTCTGCAGGCGCAGTTATTATTTAATTCCGGTCAATTTATTTTCTCTTTGTCTTTCATTTAGGTTTTATTCACTTGGTTCCATTTGGGATTATTATTTTATTTTATTGGCGATGGGACAAATTCTTGATCCGGTTTGGTCGCAAAGAGAGAACAGACAAAGTTCGGTATCTATATTAGTTCAATGCCGTTTTGAAAGGGAGAGTCTCCAGTAAATTTGTCATTTTCGGTCCACTTCTCCCCGCTTTGTTCCATGACTGCATTCTCTTTTCGTGCTTTCTCTCCCCTACGGCTGGCTACGGGTTGGGCTCAAGTGAATAGCTTTCTCTTCTGGTCTGGTTTCATGTGGAAATGATAAGAATCACGTATCATCATCTCTCGCTTTCTCTCTAGCCTGTCCTCCAGCAGAAGTGGTAGTAGCTTTGGCCAGCTTAGGTCGGATTAGGTAAGAATTCGGGGCACTTTCTCCACCACACTTTACTTTACTTCCTTATTCACAACGAAAATGAAACGACTTTGACTTGTTCTTCTTCTCTCCGTCTCCGTTTGACCCTTGATTCCAAGTTCTTTTGGTTTTTATATAACTAGTTCAAAAAACTGGCTTGCTTTCCAATCACGTTCTCCACCTTTTACTTCATTTTCCGCAAGGCCACCTTTTCTTCCTGCGCCGGGAGGCTCTTTGCTTACTTACTTACTTTCTCTTCTGGGAGTCAGTTAGGAGGAGGAATAACTGGAAAAGAAATGAAAGAATATTATCATCATGACGGAGTAGTTGTGGATGTGGCTGTTTTTTTGGTGGAGCGAGTTCACAGAATTCTTGCAGCAAAGCTTCAAAGAAATCAAAAAAATAAGAAGCGAATAAGAAGAAATGGGTAAAAGAATATGTTGTAATAATTTCTTAAAAAAGAGGAAATAAAAGTGGAGCTGGTGGTCGTGGCGGTGGTGGCATATCGACAAGCAAGCTTACGGTGGCTACAGAGTTTTCGATCTAACGGAACCACAGAGTTGGCAGGGTTTCTGAAAACTAGAGTCGTTTTTGTGGCACGATATAGATTATCTAATTTTTCTGCAAGTTGAATAAGTTTCGCGCGACGCATGCATTAATCTGATTATAATATACAAGCCCCAGTTATGTATATATTTGGTAAATTCTACGAATTTCTTAACCCCCACGACCTCACTTTTCTTGATTTTTCGTATAAGATGTTTATAGTGTATCTGAACTCTGAGATGGTCACGATTGTCACATTTTTTCGGCCCTCATTTGATCAAAATTTCAAAGACAAATATTTAGTGGTTCAAAAGTTACAGTTAATTTTATCTCAGGCTCGCACCCAACCCCCTAACTTTTTTACACCAATTATGGTATTAAAAAAATACCACAAGTGGTAATACTACTTTGCATGAACTGCTATTGGTTGTGTCGTAGGACAAATTGCATGAAACGTAAAACACAACTGGACAAAACGATCATATACTCGGTTTAACCATGCATCTCCAATTCATGAAAAGAATTTTGTATACGAGAGAAAAAAGGCACCCCAGCTTTCTCCATTTCGTTAGATATAATATAAAATCACATATCTTGTAAAAAAAAATACAATCAACTTTTCATTAAAATATGAAGTCACGTAAAACAAATTATTTTGCATAACAATAATTACAGGAAATACACCACTTTTGGAATCCGATCTGCTCGTTCTGAAAACGCAACTGGCAACACAATCTTCCCACAATTTTCTCCCATTTCATGCATGCCTTTCCTCCCCGCCGCACAAAACCTGGCCGCCTTTACTTTCTCCCATTTCCATCCCTGCGACGGAATCCCTCATCCGAAACACTTTCCTCGAACGGAACGAAATAACAAAAAAAAGAATCCTATCCCGACTCGGGACAGGGATACCAGGAGGTTGAAAGTGGAAGTAGCGGTAACAAAACCAAACGCAGTTATTCCGTCCTGTCATCAAAATCGATAAAATAGGAAAAAAAGAAACTTTCTCTTTATCGCGGTTATGGGAAAGGGGAGGGAGAAAATGTGATGATGACGACGAGGGTCTGGTGGATTTCGGCTGTGAATGGAGTGTGAGGGAGTGGAAATAAAAGAGCAGACCAGACTTTACAAAAAGAGCAAGTAGAAGCAAAAGGGAGGGGGTGACCTTCTATTATATTCGTCTCGACTGAGACTGTACAAACATGAAATGAATTGAAATCACTGTGGACATCATCATGATGATGACGAGGGCGAGGAGAAGGGTGGGTCGAGGTGGAACTATATTTTGATTTCTTGATTACTTTGTAAATTGGATTGAAAAGTGAAAAGGGGAGAAAGTGAGTGGAAAAGGGGAGAAAGTCACAAGTGTGGAGATGAAAATGTATGAATATTTAAAGGTACAGTTAGAAGTATGTAGTAAAGGTGTGTTTTAATTTATTTGGGAAAATGTATGTGAAAGTGAATTTTTGTGTAGTCTGGAATTTTGAGTGTGTAGTTTAAGTGCTAATATTTGTTTAGTTGAGTTATGTTCAAGTTTTTGTATTATGAAAAGTTGCTGGGTAGATTGTCGTGCATGGATTTTCATGTTTCGATGTTGCGGCATGAAAATTATATACTGTGCGCTTGCATGTTCACAAAAGATATTTTTATGAATAGCAGAAATGTTTTATAAATATCATTGTTAATAAATGATATTTGAAAATGTCGCAATCGAAATTATCATTTGGGAAATATTTGTTTGTCGATATTAATTTGTTAGATTTTGTATACATTTTGTAGAAGCAAACTCCCGATAATTATTTATTCTAGAATCTAAAATACAATGAATATTTATCTACTACAGGTAGATCTTTATTTTTGTTGCATTCCTCAAAAAATCATTTGTAGTTGTTCTAAAATGCTGTAATCGTAACTATCATTTGGGAAATAAGTACCTTTGTCTATTTTAATTTTTTTTATTTTGTATAGGCAAAGTCTCGATATTTATTTATTTAAAATTTTGTATAGGCAAAGTCTCGATATTTATTTATTTAAAATTTTGTATAGGCAAAGTCTCGATATTTATTTATTTAAAATTTTGTATAGGCAAAGTCTCGATATTTATTTATTTAAAATTTTGTATATGCAAAATCCCGATATTTATTTATAAAATTTAATACCAACCTTTACCAATATAAAATATAACTAATATTTATCTTTGTTTTCTATATATATAGGTTTTGTTTGTTTTCATTGCTTTCCTCAAAAAACATTTATAAAATGCATCTTTCTAAAAATATTACAAATAATCCCAATTTTTTTATTCACATCAATCCTGCACATACATATGTCTACGATGTGATTGATGCAAAAATATCCACATAAACCCAAAAATCTTAGGGACGTCGGCATCCCATTAAAATCCCGCCGGCATACATACATACCCCTACTTATCTCTCCTCCGATTACAGCACCCACACCAGACCAGGAACAAATCCACACTTTATATAAATCCCCGATAAATCGGTTCGGTTTGAGGAGAAGGATGCGATTAGGATCTGATAAAACGTGGAAAAAAGCCTTTCCCTCCGATTCTCCCTTTTCTTTCATCTAAGAGATAAAAATATAACAAAAATCCCACCAACTTTCTCTCCGTTTGTGTATAGCTTGTTGTTTGCAAAATTGCAGAATTGCACCAATCGCCACTTTAGATCAATTCACATTTGTGCGGAGAAAAGGGGAGAAGGAAAAGTCGTTCGAGTCCAAAGCAAGGGAGAAGCTGAAACGATGCGTGAAACTCAATGGAGTGAACATCACATTTCCTTTAAGTTTAGGTCCAGTGGAACGATCTCGTAAAGCAAAAAAACTGGACCAACATAAGAAGGATCTCATACCACACATTGGTTGCTCAATACTTCACTCAGCATGGATGGTGAAAGTAGAGAGAAAGAGAAAGTAAAGTAACCCTTACTTAAAAGAGAAAGATGTATCTGTAGGCGAATATGTGATCACTAAAACGGCAGGGTTGTTTAACTCCGGGGCAGTATATGAGAGCGGGAAAAAGTGTTTCGAACAGAGGCGGGAGAAATGGGAGATTTTGGTTTGTAATTTGTTTGAATTTCGGGCAAAAATACGTGACAAAAGTTAGCAAAATGTGTAGCCATCTAGCGAGAGATTAGTCGGATTAGCTAGAAAATAGAATTTAATATGCTTTACAATAAACTTCATGAAATTTTCCGTCATTTAGAATTCGGTGGGACAGAATTCCCGAATTTTTCTCACATTTAGTGCACTTAATCCCACATAAAAATTGAACCCTGTATTCCTCCTCGTTCAAAATGGCACTGCCCCAAAGTTGTTACTCCTTCTTCTTTCTTACTCACTGTTTGTCCACAGTTTCATTTTACGACTTTATATTTAAGCCTCCCCTTACTTAAGACGGAACCAGCACATAGCCAGCCAGCCACCACTTTAACTTAACTTTTAGCTCTGATCTGTAAATTGTGCTCCGAGAATAGATAAACTTTACTCTCGTAAGTAAGTAGGAAAAGAGGAAAAGAAAGCAACCCAGCGTAAAATAAAAATTCGAATAAAGATTCCGATTTCCCATCAGATAAATAAATAAATAAATAAAACACAGAGTAATAAATTAATTTAATAGGATGTAAAATGCAGACTAGGTTTATGACCCAGACTGGACACCCACGACGAGGGAGATCATTATATTATTGCTCTCTTAAAGTGAAGGGATTACAGTTTTCTTTTCTTTTTAGGGGCACGAATCGATCCTATCGATGGGTAGATAAAGTCGTTAAGCAAGCATAGCGCAGTTTTGAACGGAGGGAACATTTCATGCATGCAGATCTTGTAGGAGAAGGAAGAGTAAGCTATCACGAGGCAGCCCGTAGGTCAGATTTATGGGTGATTACCAACAGCGAGCTGGAGATATAGGATTGTTGGATGGGTAATAATGCCACGATCGGTGGGCATTGTTTGGCTTTGTTTGATCAAAATGAATCGATATTGTAATGTGTGTAATGCACTTGTCGGGAGGAAAATGCAGGCAGGCAGACAGGAGAGAAAGCAGTATTTTTTAAGGGTTATGATTATCTAGAAGGAGAGACAGGAAACGATAAAATTAGGAGAATTTTGTTCGTGTTTTTGTTAATAATGGGGGAAGGGAATGCAATGCGTATTTATGGTTTGCGTGTTTTTTCTTAATTTCAAGAGAGGAAAGTGTGTGTAAATGTAAAAATCATGGGATTTAAATTTGGGTAAGGTAGTGTTGTTTTGTGCTGCAATTGATATTTTTTAAATCTTTAATTAGCCGAATATACATGTATTTGAAAGTTATATATTATAATGATTTAGAATATGAGTTGTAGTTTGAATTATTTTACAATTTAGTCCCAAAAAGGTTGATAATTGTTTATCATTCAAAAGTGCAATTTAAAAAATTGTCTTTTAAAGTGCGAATAGCAAAAAAATGAGCTAATTTTATTATTTTCCTGTTGTATAACTTCCACGTCAAATCTACAAAATTAAAAGTGTTAACTTGACCTTTTTACTAACTTCAGATATGTCCGGTGTAAAATGTATGATATAAAATATAAGATTCACAAGAAATTTCAAAAATCGAAATAATTCTTACTGTAAAAAATAAAATAACAAATTCTCTCACACTTATCACATCCTCCATTTCCCCTGAAAACACCAAAAGTAACATTTTCACCCAACAAAATAACCCTAAAAGCTAAAAT